CATCCCCAGCCGGCCGCCGCCCTGCGTCCTGCCCCACAGTCGGGGCTCCCGGGACACGCCGCTGCCCGGGACGCGAGCCGTGCGCTCCGAGTCGGAGCCCGGGACGAGGCGATGCGCTGCAATGTGAGCCGGAGCGAGGCCAGGGGCGGCCGCCAGCGCGCAGGGTCCTCTTGATCCCCGTGGAGAGGTCTGCGCGCTCGGAAGCAGCGGGTCCCAGCCCGGGCGGCGCTGAACTGCGAAGAGGCGCGCCCGCGGGGTGGGCGGCCCGGGAGGCCCGGGCGGGACAGGCCCGCAGCGCCCCCTGCTGGACGTGGCGCCACGAACCCCGGCTGGATCCGGTGCTGGACCCGGTGCTGGACCCCAGTGATCTCCATCCTCTCCAATGTCCCTGGCTCTGTGGGGGCCCAGCTGGCTGAGTCTCTCTCCCTTTGTGTTACCGTGTGAGCCTCACACGAAGCTCCAAAGCCACCCGAGCGAAGGATGAGTGAATATTCTGGTCCTGCCCATCTGGAAGCTCTTTTTCGGAGGCAAACACTCAAGCTCTTGAATCAGTTGGTGTTAGAGAATTAGTCACATGGAAGCAAGCAGCGCATCCTTCCAGGCTCCCTGACCTGACCAGTGTTTTTCAACTTGGCAGACACGAAATACAGCCAAATCTTGCAAATCAAATTATTTTCACGTTCAACAAGCACCCACCACACCGCAGCCCAGCCCCTGGCAAACTTTTTATCTCTGACTCTCTGAAGTTGACTAGGCCAAGTTTAATGTTACTACTGAACTGACTCTTTGCTCAAGTAAAATCTGACCACATTCCTGCCCCCCCCACTCCCATCCACCCCCCCCCATACCTCATCCCCGACCCCTGACTCCCTCTCTCCCTCCTCCTCTGCCAAAGTCTCATTCATGCTGAACACATGCTTGGTCTTTTTCTTTCTAATCAGGTTTGTCCTTATAACGTGTGTGTGTGTGTGTGTGTGTGTGTGTGTGTGTGTGTGTGTAGGGGAGGAAGCATGTTTTGGAATTATCTAGTCACCTGGTAGTCTAAACACATGGATCTGTACAGGTGAAACGCCTCTCCTAGCTGTCATCAGAAACAGGGTCACAAAGAGGCTACACTGCTGTCTTTGGAGATGGAGGGAGGGGTCTACGAGCCAAATTCAGGCAGCTTCAAAACACAGTGAAGTGTCTTCTCCCTGGAACACAGCCCCCCACTGGAACACAGCCCAGGGACGCCTTGGTGCCCCATAGACCAGTGACCTGCAGAATTGTTGATGATAGGTTTTGTTGTCTTAAGCCACTGTATTCAGGTCATTTGTGTAGCTCTGATGCGTTAAGTATTGTCTTAGTCAGGGCTACTGTTGCTGTGATAAACACCACGACCAAAAGCAACTCAGGGCAGGAAAGAGTCTATCCTGTAGAAGGAATCTTAAAAGTTCTTATTAATAAAATCAAACCTGTGAGCCAGGTATTGGGGTGAACTGGAAGATCAGAGAACAAGCCATAGCTAACCCCACCTGGTCAACTTCTCAGCTGGTCTTGTTTCCTCAGACTGGAAGCTTCTGTGTCCTCATCCCAATGGCTCTCAGCTGAACTGCTGCTCAAAAGCCTGAAGCTTAACCAGCCAAATGCTTAACCAGGCCCAAATGCTTAACCAGCCAAATGCTTAACCAGTCAAATGCTTCTCGTGTCTGGTTCTCACGCCTTATATACCTTTCTGCTTTCTACCACCACTCCCTAGGATTAAAGGCTGGCTTTCTGGGATTAAAGGCGTGAGTCACCATGCCTGGCTGTTTCCAATGTGGCCTTGAACTCACAGAGATCCCAGATGGATTTCTGCCTCTGGAAAGCTAGGATTAAAGGCGTGTGCTATCATTGCCTAACTAGTGGCTTTTCTGTTCTCTGACCCCAGATAAGTTTATTAAGGTACACAATATTTTGGGGAACACAGTGCCACCACACTATCCCAGCTTACAGGTTAGTCCATCAAAAGGCAGGGCATGAAGCCAAGCCGACAGCTGAGGGAGAAATCACTGAGAACTAACTATGTTATTGGCTTCCTCTACCCCTGCTCAGCTAGCTTTATATATGACATACGTCACCTGTTCAGGAAATGGTACCACTCACAGTCTGAGCCCTCACACATTAATTAACAACCATCCCCACAGTCATGCCCACAGACAAATCTGATGAAGACATTACTCAACTGAGTTTTTTTTTTTTTCAGGTGATTTCAGTCTGTATCAAGTTGACAGTTAATGCTAACTAGTAAAGTGCCTTAAGTTTTATATAAAAGAGTGTGTGTGTGTGTGTGTGTGTGTGTGTGTGTGTGTGTGTGTGAGTGAGTGTGAGTGAGTGATGTGTGATGTGTGATGTGTGTACTCCTTAAGGAAAGACCCATAGATTTTTAACAAATTCTTAAGAGGTAAGGTAGCCTTTAAAAGGTTGGGAACTGGGAGCTGAAGAAATGGCTCAGAGGTTAGAAGCACTTCCTACTCTTGCAGGGGACCTGGGTTCAATTCTCCACACCTACATATTGGCTCACAAACAACTCTAGTCCCAGGAGATCCAACACCCTCTTCTGCTCTCCACAGGCACTGAATGTATGTTGTATACATACATATATGCAGGCAAACAATCACACACATAAAATAAAAGTAAATGGATCTTCAAAAGAGGTTAGAATCCATTGTCTAAAACACACGGATTACAATCTTTACAAACTAAACCTAAAAATGATACTGGTTAAAACTGTTCCCTTTCATTTCACAAAATAGGGCTCTTAAACGTGACCATACATCTGAATCCAGGGATAGCATTAAAAAAAAACACACCAGATTAGGGGCTGGAGAGATTGGCTCAGCCATTAGGAACATTTGCTGCTCTTGCAGAGGACCCAGATTCGCTTCCAAGACCCACACAGTGGCTCATAGCCATCTGTAATGCCAGTTCCAGGGAATCACTTAAAAACAAAATAAATACATAGCACAAGCAGTGAGTTGGGTTGGGGCCACTAAGGGTAAGGACCAAGAGTCAAGCTGTTAAGCAACTGGGGTTAGGAAGACATGTCTCCAGGAAAGAGATCCCCAGTTCTTCATTGTGGCCCTGACCATGTGACATTATGGCAGGAAGACCTTAGACTCTGAAGAAAAAAAGAAAAAAAAAAGAAAAAAAAGAAAAAAAAAAAAGAAAAAAAAGAAAAAAAAAAACCACATGGGCTTAATTAACCAGGTCTGACCAGCTGTGGCAGCCTGGTAAGTCAATGCAACAAAGATACCAATAAACTGATAAGCCTTTGAAACATATTGATGAGCTGTTTGAGGTAGTTTAAAAATTATAAAAAGGGAATGGTTATTAGTTATTCATGTTGTCTGACATGTGTAGTCAGCAGTGAGCTCAATTTCCTCGCTGCCAGAATAAGCTTTCCTGTCTCTAGAATGGCTGAATAGAGGGCTGGCGTGTTCATGAATCTTCTCACTGCTGTGAAAAAGTATCCAACAAGAAGAAACTTACAGGAAGAAGGGTTCACTGCAGCTCAGTTTGTCAGAGCACAGCCCACCGTGGTGGGGAAGGCAGGGCTCAGCCAATGGCTGCAGGAGCTCACAGCTCAGACCCCTCCCATCTGGGCAGACCAGGATGCAGAGAAAAGGGGATATAATACCTCTCAGCTGGCTTTCCTCTTTCCCCCCTTTTAAGTTCAGACTGGGATCCCAGCCTATTGGTTGCTGCTGCCCACACTGGGCATGGATCTTCCACCTCGGTCAAACCTCCACAGAAGTAGACATGTCTGAAGGTTTGTCTCCTTGGTGGCTCTGTCTTCAATCAAGTTGCCAATGACAACAAATGCACACAGGGTAAGCATTCTTCTTCAAACCTGCCCACATAGGAGACAGAGTTGCTTCCTGGCACTGTGTCTTTTTAGAAACTGCACCTCTTGTCCAATTTTCTAAAGAGATGACAACCCAATGTCCCTCTTCCTTTGTACCCACAGATTAGTGTAACTCGCAGCTCTCATCACAGAAGCATCTTTTTGCAATAGATGGTGATGAGACTCCCAGGTCAAGGTGCAAAGAACAAGAAACACTGTGGTGCTCAGCCCTATATGGGGCATCCATTTCACGCTTCCTTTCTCCCCTAGGCTCAGGGATCATTTCGGAAAGAAGGGCGGGAAGACTGTAGGAGCCAGAAGGAGTGGAGAGCTGCTGCAAAATGGTGTTTGCTGGACCGAAAGAGCAGCAGCTCACAGGATCTCACCGTGGCTATGATGCCATGCACAAGACCTGGGCAAGATCAAGTCAGACAAACTCTCAGCACAGATAGGGGAGGGGCTCACAGCTCCCACCCCTCGCTGAAGAGCTACTGGCAATTGATGGCCACTGGGGAAGGGAGTCCATTTTCTTCAGAGTTGTGACCCCACATGGGATGCTCAAGCTCTAGCGAATGTCCATGCGTGGCAGCACAAAGTGAACCCAGTGGGATTAAAAAGAAGTACATAATCTGAGAGGGAAGGTCGTGCACATGCACCTGGGGGGGCGGGAGGAGCTGCTGGCTCACACTTGGCTGTATTTTTAACTAAAGAATTGTGTGTAGGCCTTCTGCTTCTGTGCTGGGATTAGCCCAGGGCCTTTGCACATGCTAAGCACATATTCATCTGTGAGTCACATCCCTGTGGTCTTAGAAACTGTCAATCTGGCTAATCTCTTTTCCTTTAATAGTACGTCTCACTGGACGGGTCTTGCTATATAGCCTGGGGTGGCCTTAAATGCTCACTTCTCCTCCTGCTGCCTCCAGGCTGCGATTTCACAGTTGTCCCCATGCCCAGCTCCTAGTCATATTCTGCTTCCTTCAGGTCTTTAGATGTTCCAGCCTTGATTATCCAGGGTGTGAAGGTTGCAAGTGTGCTCCTCCAGCTGCAGCCTCTGCATACTGTCTCTCCGTGGCTCGTTGCCTTGTGTGTGTTGTACACTTGGGCTGCAATGTCATGTTCCTTGGGATTTTTGTCTTTGTTCAGAACATATTTTTTCATAGACAAATTGCGCCTCTTTCTGGCAGTCACCTGGGAACTGCTGATCTGCCTTTGCTGTGACCTAATGTCTGGCTTAGCTAGGGGACTGGTGACAGACAATAAATACACAGATAGGTAAGTACTAGGTGATCATAGCTAGGTAGACAGACAATAGATAAGAGGTGATGGATGACAGGCAGACAGATATTGGCGATAAATAAACAGATGTAACATCACACAGGCTGTTTTTGTGTTCCTGAAGGCTGCCTTCCATTGTATTCATTTACATCCTCCAAGAGTCACAACCCCACCAGGAAAGACAGTCTGGTGTTTATTACAGCACAAAAATCAAACTAGAATAATGTTGGATGT